TGTAGGGGGTATTATTTTACTTGCATGTACATGTAGGTACCATGTGCATGCATTGCCTGAAGAGGCCAGAAAAAGGCATCAAATTGCCTGGGACTGGAGGTACAGACAGTTGTGAGCTGCCATATGGGTGTTGGGATTTGAACCCAGGTCCTCTGGAAGCACAACCAGTTCTCTCAACCACTGAGTCATCGCTCCAGCAGAAACGAAGCCGCTTCACCCCGTCCTACAGCCCCACTGGTGGGGAAACCTTTTAAACTCTTCTTTGCACTTAGAAACCTCACCTGTCCATTTCTTGTCCTGCCCCCCCCCCCACCAGAGACAGAGCCTGGCTGTCCTAGAACTTTCTCTGTAGACCAGGCTGGTCTTGAACTCAGAGATCTGCCTGCCTCTGCTTCCTGAGTGCTGCTAGTAAAGGTGTGCACCACCATGCCTTTTTTTTTTTTTTACTGTAAAACAGGCTAGAGGCAGGATACTTGCCAAAGAGGTGTCTACTGAGAATTCACTGGTTTGTAGGAGTTCTGAAATTCATCCCCCTGGGGTGTAAAATCCAGATTCTGCAGTTAGGGTTATGCGGAGAAACCCGGTCTTGAAAAATTCCAAACAGGAAAAGAAAGAAAAAAGAAATTAAATCTGGAATCTCGGGAGACCAGGTCAAGAATTTCCTAGTGGGCTCTGACTCTCTTCCTTGGGTGGGGAAAGTTTCCTTTGTTCCTTGGCATGTTGTGCTGTAGCGCAAATTCTAATTGGTCTTAATAATAAAAACCTGAGTCAGATTACAGGGTAAATGCTGAAAGATCAGAGATGTAAAGGAACCAGCCAGTAGAGAGACTTTTTACCTCTACCAAATCATCGAACAGAAGGGGCAAGATCCTGCCTCTGTGAATCCTCAGACTGCATGCTCCGAGCTCCTGTCTCCTCCCACCTCTCTCTGCTCTCTCTGCCCATCCATATCGCTCCTGTCTCCTCCTCCCCAGTGCTGGGATTAAAGGTGTGCGCCACCACTGTCTGACCTCTATGGCTAACTAGTGGCTTAGATCTGCACTCTGATCTTTAGGCAAATTTTATTTGTTAGATCACAAACAAAATATTACCCCATTGTGCTGTTAAGTCTCCTACCCTCTGGAGATTCCCCTTGCCCTGTTGCTGTCCTTGGCCACCTCTCAGGTGGTCAGCGTGTAGTCTGCCCAGCTCTAGCTGTCACTACCAGCCTAGGACCTGTCTGAGGGCTCGGGGAGCAGACGCAAACAGCAGGACGCATTCCTAAACTGTAGTGTCAGGATGAGGTTTCTATGACAGTGTTGTTTCCTCGGAGATGCAATATACTTTTGACCATCTGCACCCCACCAAAGTCTCTTCCCAGGTTTTCAGGATTGCCTGGTTTCCTTCTTCTTTAATGGCTCTGTCATGTTTTCCTGTCAACCTACTGCTACAGTCTTCAAGGGACTGGGAATGATATACATGGGTCGCCATTCTGCAGTCTTGACATTCGCTGGAGGCCCGGTTCATTTGTTCAGTTGAGTTTTGCTTAGGTTTTGTAGCTAAAACTATTTCTCTCCCTCTCTCTTCCTCCTCCTCAGCTTCCTGAGTGCTGGGCTTGTGTGAGCCAAGCCTGCCTCCTCCTCCTCAGTGAGCTTTTTTGACTTCTACAGTCCTTCATGTTTTGAATTTCATTTTCTTTAGATTGTTTTCAAATAGAGGAGTGTCCCTTGCTCCTCCTCTCAGATCTCACGCTGTAGACCAGGCTGGTCTTGTGCTCAGAGAGATGGCCTGCCCCTGCCTCCACATTGCTGGGATTAAAGGCGTTCAACATCACACCTGTCTGGTTCCTGCCTAATTTTAACCTCTTATAAAAATTTGCTGAGGGCTGGAGAGATGGCTCAGTGGTTAAGAGCATTGCCTGCTCTTCCAAAGGTCCTGAGTTCAATTCCCAGCAACCACGTGGTGGCTCACAACCATCTGTAAAGAGGTCTGGTGTCCTCTTCTGGCCTGCAGGTATACATGTACACAGAATATTATATATATATATATATATATATATATATATATATAGTAAATGAATAAATTTTTAAAAAATACTTGCTGAGAAGAATAAAGCAAACCTTGCCGCGTGGTGGCAGCAGACGTCTTTAATCCCAGCACTTGGGTGGTGGAAGTAGGTGGATCTCTGATTCTGGGACAGTCTGATCTATAGAATGAGTTTCAGCATAGCCAGGGCTACATGGAGAAACCCTGTCTCTAAAAACCAACAGAACAAGACAAAACAAAAACAACAAACAATCTAACAAAACAACTCAAACCCCCAAAACTTTGCTCCTGGTGATGGTGCCCACTTCCCCCGCGAACATTCTAGCCATTCCTGACCAGCCCCCTTGAGTTGGGGGGCCAGTGTTTCATCTTGGTCCAGGCTGTATTCAAGCCTCACCTGGATCACAATATTCTTGCCCTAAGATCAATTTCTTTATTTTCTCACCTGCCATGCCAATGCCACACATTTTATATGTTTCATCTTAGTGCATGTGTGTTGGACACATGTGCCATGCTGTGCTTGCAGAGGTCAGAGGTCAGCGGGAGCTGGCTCTCTCCTTTCACCACGTGGGTCCTGGGATCAAACCGGGTCCCCAGGCTGGGCAGCAGGCATCATTGACCCACGGAACCATCTCAGTGGTCCGTATTTTAGATTTTTATTGTAGAAGGGATTCCCTTTCAGGAACTGATCTCTATATTGAAGTAGGCTCAATAGCAAGAACAAGCCAATACTTTCAATGGCCCGACATAATGTAAAGGGTTTGGGGGCTGTCTGGCCAGTCTGCACACGTGGTAACTTTATTCCAAGGTTACCTATTGAGGGAGCAGACATCTAGGGGCTTCCCAGATTTCCCGGGGATAAATGAGAGACCCTGGAGTTGAACTGACTGGGACCAGGCGCACAGCCTGCTGTCCATACCTCAGTGGCCCGTGGCAGCTGAGATATGTAGCTGTCCTTCCGCACTCAGAGGGTTGCCTTCTGCCATCAGAATTTTCCTTCTGCTCTGCCTTTCCACCCATCAAGGCTTCAGCAGTCTCTCACAAGCAGTCCTGGTTCATGGGTAAAGATTTTGAGAGAGCCGCTGCCACAAAACCCAAGACACCACATAAACAGAACATAAAGGAATGGGATGTCAAGTGTCTTTCTCATAAGGGATCTGGAGTCCAGCATTGTTTTAGAAGTGGCATCAAATGCAGTGTCCTCACAGAAGGCACCCTACATGGCATTTATGAATTTAAGTAGGACAAATATTTAAGAAATGGTGAGCCTAGCCTGGTAGCCTATGCCTGTCATCCCAACAACTTGGGAAGCTGGGGCAGGAAAATTACAAGTTTGAGGCCTGGCTGAGCTCCACAGTGAGTTTGAGGTCAACCTGAACAAATTAGCAAGATCCTTTCTCATATTCAAAAAATAAATAAAAAAGGTTTGGAGATATACTTAGCAGTAGAGTGATTGCCTAATATGCCCAAGACCCGTGTCCAAACCCAAGTCCCCCCAAATAAATCAATAGATAATAAATTAATGGTGTGGAGGGGGATGGTCTCAGTGCTTGAGAAGGTTTGCATCTACTGATCTGCTTCTACAGGATGGGGTTGGGTTGTTTCTGGGCAGTACAGGTGCCGCAGCCTCTTTGAGGCTGATTCTCCCTGCGTTGGAGAGGAAGTAGAGTTAAGGAAGCTGTAGGTCTCTCTGGTTACCCTGAAGAGCAGGAATCCAAGAAAGGAAGGCAGTGGAACGGTCACAGGAGTTTGTGAAATACAGGGGCCTGGCTAAAGCCACAGCCATTTGTCTGCATGGCTGAAGAGGTTGGGGGATCTATTATTGAGGGTCTTCTTGGTTAGGGGCCTGCTGGTCCAATGGTCTACAGGGTCAGTGGTTTGTAGAATCAGGGGTCTGCAGGGTCAGGGATCTGCAGAGTCAGGGGTCTATGGGGTCAGGAGTCTGCAGAGTCAGGGGTCTATGGGGTCAGGAGTCTGCAGAGTCAGGAGTCTGCAGGGTCAGGGGTCTATGGGTCAGGAGTCTGCAGGTCAGGGCTCTGCTCCGGCAGATCTCATGAGCTGAGCAGTTGGATGGCTGAGTGGATCCAAGCAGGTGAGTGATGGGAACAAGGGACTGCGGCTGCTGGAGTTCTGGGTGAGAAGATGGGGGGAGTAAGTAAGGGGCCACAGAGTTTAGGGTGAACTGGGAGGCAGAAGATCCTGAGGATACTGAAGATTGAAGCCAGGACAAGAGTGCTGGGGAGAACATGGAGGCTGGACACCGAGAATGTGAAGTGGGTCATTGTGGGTAACACTATGCTGGTTCTTTAAAGGTTGCCATGAAATTCTCATATGGTGCAGTAATTCCACCTTTATAAGACATATTTGAAAGAATCAAACACAGGGGTTTAAAAATAATTTGGCTCAAGTTCACAGTGGTGTTAGAAAAGCCACAGAAAAGCCGGGCAGATGTTCATACCAATGTGGTGTTTTCCTAGAGTGGACTACTACTCAATCTGCAAAAGAAAATGCTAACCCTAAAGACATTACTCCCAAATAAGACAGGCAGAGAAGGACAGATAATGAACAGCTGCATGGATATGAAGTCCATGGAACAGGCAAATCATAAAGCCAGAATGCAGTGGTGTCTGATGGGTGGAGAGAAAGGAATGGCCTATTTTGTAGACACAAGGCAAAATCCAAAACAAGCCACAGAAGTAAGAGCTGTGAGTAGGGGAGGATCTGGCATCTTCTGGGCTTCCTGAGGTGGTGTGCGCACGCACTGGCAGCAGGGTCATGGAACACTGAGGTTGTCTGTGGAGTTCAGAATCAAACAGCAGAATACAGGTGTGGGAGAAGAGCTCTAGTTTTCAGTGTGAATCCTTTCGGAGACAGAGAGCAGTTTCCGAAAGGCTAAAGAACTTCCTTACAGATATTACGTTGCAATGGTGCCCCCTAGCGAGGCTCTGGAGAAGGAAGCTGCTGAACAAAGTACAGTGATTCCAAACAGTTTAATGTAATTCCAAGACAGTGTGACCACATCTCTACACATATACAATATGCATATGTGAGTGTACAGATTCCATTAATAACTCGCTTCACCTCAGAGACCGAAAAAATGATCAAAAAGAAACTGAGTAACAAGCTATAACAGAGTTCACCACAACAGGACCCCCCCTTCCTCACCCTACAGTTAGTAATATTACAATTAAAATAACTATATTCTTCTATAATTTTTCTGTTAAAATCATCTCATAAATTTACAATGCTATTATTAGTTTCCAAGACTAATATAAATTCACTCCATTTTTCTACAACGAAAATGATGATTAATTTAGAAGCGCACGACATCATGATGAAAACAAGCATTTTAGTAGCAACAACTTCATCAGTTAAGAATTAGTTTTCTTGAAAAACATTCTAAAGCCAAGTAAAATATCCACCCTTATAACATATCTATAATGAGACTAAGGAACAGGCTACAGAGGTCTACGACACACTGGTTTGTCCTTTTAAACAAAAGTAGACATTATAAATAAAAAGAAGAGACACGCCACAGAGGAGAAGGAGGTACACGAGAAAATACTGTTGCACGCAATAGTTCCCACATAGATTAACATGGATTAACACTTTATCACAGAAACCGTACAGTGAAGGGACACGCTGGCCAGGGCTTTCAAGGGGTTGTCGAGACTGAGCTGAGCTGACCTGCTAGAGAAACATCTAGGTGAGATGGCCTGGGGGAGGGAGCCTCCTTCCTTGGACTGGGGAATGGGCATTGACGGGTCCCCTCTTCTCCGTTTTAGTCCCAGGGAGTGTGTCTTCCTGCCCAGAGCGTCCTGAACCCACAGGCAGCTGAAAGGTAAGCATTGCTACCGATCTCTCTCGCCCGCCGTCTTCACGGTGCCATTTTTTTTTAAAATGTGAGATAATATCAGGCTGTAGCTGAATGCATGCGGTCAGAGCAAAATGGGTGGAAAAGCCCAGTCATGCTGGTCTGTGTCCCTCCCTCTCCCAGGCCTTTGCTGCTGGAGACCCGCAGAGCAGCAGAACCCTCACAGTCTCCCAGCTCTGCTGAGGTGAGGTGGATGGCGAGGGCTGGGTGCTGGGGCCTTAGCTGCGAGTGAAGGAACAGGATGCACCTTGCTCATTGGACACATCAGTGCTCTCCAACCTCTAAAGGGCTCCTCTTCCTTCTCATCCATAAAGCTATACTTTTCCTATCAGAAAATTTGGCTTGATATATATATACACAAACATATATATCAACATCTCTATCTATACAGTGCTTCTACTACACTAGGAATCCTGCAGCCCCAACATACGCCTTTCTTGTCAACTTCATTTGGTTAAAAACACACACACACGCAAAGGGGTGAAGGGTGCTTTTGGGGCTAGAAATGATTGTGCCCTGGGTAACCCATGGAAGAAAGCCAGTCTCAAATGGGCAGTACACAAGACAGAAGGATGTGGAAGGGCAGGGAGCTAGCCGACTTGGAGACAGCGTGAACAGGGCCTCTGCTTTGAAGGGTGTGTGTATATTCGTCTTGCTCAGAGTCACCGCCACGTTCAACTTCCTATGTCCTTCCTCCTAACCTGAGCCAAAGCACTGACACCTCAATAGCAAATCCACTGTCCGTCAGCCCAGCAGGGAGCCAGGGAGGCAGGAGTGAGGCTCTCAAGGCTAAGCAAGTCTTCTAGTTGACTGGAGCTTCCTGGAAGTCCTGAGCACCTGAGCAGAGCAGGTCTGTGCTGACAGCAGGGGGCAGAGGTGGCAACAGAAGCAAGGAGTCAATGCAAGGGGGAGGGGCAGGGGAGATCCATTTTTGGAAGTTGGTTGAGAGGAAACTAAAAAGAGCGACAGCAGAGCCCTTCTTTAGATACAGTAAATTTAAACTTTTCAAATAATAATGAAAAGCCCATTTCTATACCTCTCATTTTTAAAAACATGGGTTAGCTCCAAAGACAATGACACAAAATTCATTTGGTTTATTAGTGCAAAGGAAAACACACACACACACACACACACACACACACACACACACACACACACCAGGATCTCAGAGTATGACTAAGGAGGGTGAGATGAAGAGCATCGTACAGGACGTTCATTCTCAGAGACCACAGGCGCACGCCGCCAGCACTGGCCTGGCCGCAGGGGCAAAGCAAGCAGAGGTGAGCAGCCCTGTACCTCGTGCTGCAGCTTTCAAGGTGTCTGTGGAGGAACAATCACATCACATATTGATCACCATGGGTCCTCCACAGTTCAGTGGTAGCACAGGAAAAATAAAATAAAACCCAGTCCACATAGTGAGTTCCAGACCAGCCAGGGCTACATGGCGAGACCCTGTCTTAAAGACAAAACACAAGACAAAAATAAAACACCCCCAAGCCCAACAAGATGATCAGGAAAACTGGTATTTCCTGTCTTCTCCTGCTTACCAGTGGAGCCCACACTTGGCTCTGAGGCCCGTTTCACTGTAAATCCCCTCCGTGGACCCAGCGCCATGGGCCACCCTTCGTCCACCCCAGCTCCTTCGGTCCATCAGCAGAGGCCTCTGAACTAGGTTTCACAGCGTAGCCGGACAATGGGTAAATTAAAGTACACATCATTTTACATGGGTTTTGTTCTTAAAGAAAAATGACTAAGACAGTAGTGATATGTGAAAACCCGGCCAGTGAAGATGGCATAACGGTATGGTTCTCCTTCTCAAAATGCTGACCTCTAGAGGTTCACTGGGGACCCAGAAACAGCAACCATACCTTCACAGCTGCTGAGAACCAGCACCACCTACTGCCAGGTGAGGGATCTAGTCCTGAAGGAAGCATTCAAGCCAAGACAAAGTTGATGGAGCAGGGATCACTTCTCACCGCCCCTCCATGCTGTCAAGGCCTCGATGACAAGTACCGATCCTCATGGCACAGGACCCCGCATCTGGCCCAGGCTCAGGACTTACCCCTTCCCATTCCCTCTAGACTTCCTCTCACATTCTCTCAGGGTCCCTGGAAAGCAACAATAAAGGAAACGCGCATATTGGGCTACAAGCAGTATAAGCGGAACATGCCTGCCTCAGGGAGACACAGCTTCTGGTTTAAGAGTCAATCAATCGCTGTGGTTGAAGATGGCAGTTAGGAACAATTTTCTTTTAAGAAGTACCAGGTTAAATGTAAACTATAAAGTACTTAAACTATAAAATGTAGCCAGAGTATGCTTGAGTATCCACAGTTAACTGTGGAGTTTACTTGATACCGGAGAGCACAAAGGGCATGTTACGTGGTGAGGAACACGCTCCACACAGCCTTGACATCACACTGATCATGACACAAGGCCATCTCTTCTGGTAGAAGGGCGAGCTATTCTCAGGACTCACTTCGGCAACAGTGACCGGGGTATGCGTTCATCCTTACTTTCAGCCCATGGAGAATTCATAGTCTTTTGAATGACAAGGTCAAGCTGGCTACATGATTTCAGAAAAGGCTAAAACCAGGACGAATGCCCATATTTGAGGTAATTATTGCCATTGGGTCACAGTTTGCGTAAGGTAACATATCTAAACCAGCTGAGACCGTTGCGAGGTGCTCTGCCAGAGGCCCAGAACACCACTGACACCAGCCAGGACCTCAGAGCTACACTAGCTGGGTTCACTTCCAATGAAGTTAAAGTTCTAGAAGAATTTAGAACTTGTGTAAACGACCTAAGAACTTAGGCAAACAAGCCTGGAGACAGTCAGTAAAGACATTTTTAAAGAAAAGAGAAAGCCCAACCGAAACAACTGAGCAGATACAGTGCATGGTGAGAGTCTTTAAGAAATGGAAATCTAGTCCTAGAGCATTTCCAGGTTTTTGTTACCTCTCAAGGGAACTAAACTGTGGTGTTAGCGCTCCCAATGGCATGACAGTCTGAGGCGCCTCTTTCTCACTTCCTGGCTTGGTTGCTTTGCTCTGTCATGCTCTGTCCATCTCTTTGAGAAGGTCTCTTTTGCAAGAAAATGTGATTTTGTTCCTCTTCCCAGCTTGCCTTCATCCTCCCCTTCCTCCTCTTTTTTTGTTTTTCTTTTTTTTTTGTTTTTGTTTGTTTCTTCATAGAAAAAAAAAGTTCCTGGACACAGACCAAGATGGTATTTACAAATTTGGTGTGAACCTGGCCCCTGGTTCTGCCCAGAGCTGAAGAGAGGGTCTGCTACAGAGATCAGAGCTGCCAAGGTATTTATCAAGTACAGTAAAAAATAGCATTTTGGAAAAAAAATATATACTTTTAGTATTGCCTTTCTAGGATTAACTATAAGCAAGAAAAATCATCTTATTTATTTAATTTTATAGAAGAAAAGAACACTTTCCCTTCAGTCTGACAGGAGTTGTAGCAGTGTGACTAAAGCTAGTTGCTGGAAAGAAACCAGAAAGGAATTCTAGGAATCCAGAGAAACTCCCGACTGTTCTTAAAGTCAAACTCCTCCTCTTCCACCTGCATCCCATCCAGGAACCCTCTTTGCACAGACACGCTGAGCCCACAGCAGCATAGGGAAGACAGAGCGTGACATTCAGCAAAGGACTGTCCTCGCTGTACACAGGGAGGCAGCTGAGGCTGGGTCTGTGAGCTAGTTCTAGAGCCAAGCAGATAGAAGGTCAAGCTCGTTCCTTCTCACCAGCTGGGTGGCCTGGGCAGCTTACGGGCGCTTTAAGCCAGGTGCCTCATCTGTACAGGGACTGACGTGGCTGGTGTCACGGGGCTCACTGAGCAATTCTTAGCCTGTGTTTGGCACTTAGGGAATGGGAGCGTCATTGAATGACCCATTAGAGATAGGCTGTCACTGTAGTTAGTAGTTAAACAGGGAAACAAATTTTACATCAGTAAAGTCCTGATTAACAAAAAAATAGGATTAAAAACTTGGGGATTCTGAAATGTATCACGCTTTTCCTTTCTCACATTCCAGTTTCTCAGAGGGACAGCTCTTCTATCTGTCAAACAGGGGGTATTGACTTCTTGCCAGGGGTGGGTGGTCGTGATGGGTCTGTGAGAGGATGCTCAGCAAGGCCTTGGCATACTGTGAACACTCAATAACCGTCGGTGAGTCCTCATACAAGGGGTAGTCCTAGCACACTACTGTGTGCAGCAGGAGGTCATCTGTGCAGTGCTCTCCTGCACTGGTCTGGGATGCGGGACCCTGAAAGGATTGGGGAAGGGTCTGTGACAAGGAGCCTCAGGCTCTCTTTTCTGGCAACTCTGAGCCAGAAGGAAAGAGACTGCTCTAAAGACCCGGGAAACCTCTCTTCAGTTGGTCACTACAGAGAGCCATAGTGCCAAAGTGTTCATGAGGTTGCTTTTGCAATTAAGTATGCCTCATTTCGCCATCTTTGGTTCTTCAGTGGCTTGATGGATTTGTCTGAGTACTGCTTGTTGAGACCGGGCAGGTGGACAGATGCTGCCATCTCAAGCCGGTCCTGTGCATCCGGAGCCCGAGAGGCAGCGTGGGTCACCAGGGAAGGGTTGCTTGCTTGTTTGCTAGCTCCCCACAGAAGCATGAGATCAATTAAACACAAATGAACACTGTAGGGGCCTCAGTTACCTAGGAACAGCAGCACTTAGGACTAGACTTCACTCCTCTTTAAAGATGAGTGGTTTTGAAATAAATGCAGTGAGAGTAAAAAAAAAAAAAAAAGGAGGCAGGACAGGGAGGGGAATAAATGAATAAACGGAACTGCATCACTGAAGCCAGTATTGCCCAAGGGAACAGGGGATGACATTTGTCTGCCTGTAAAGGTGTCTTTGGCTAAAGAAAGGGACAGTTTTACTTTCCTCTCTAATTTGGTAAGGACATCTCTGGCCTGCTTAATTTTGAGGACCCCCACCGAAAATCTGAAAAGCACATAAGAGGGAAAACAGGAATGAGGAGCGAAGCCTGGGAGACCCTGGGGCAATGTGCTGTGGTCCAGCGCCTGGCTGGGGGCTGTGTGGTCTCGGGCTGGGCTATGGAAGGAACTCTCTCTGCTAGCTCTCTCCTGTCTTCTGTCCTAGCAGCTACTTGGCAGGCCAGCAAGAGCCCTGCGCACATCCTACTCTGCCCTCAGCCAGATGATGAGAACCTGGGGGAGGGAGGGACGGAGTAAGGACCCAATCACCCTTACTACCATGAACCACCAGGAGTACTTCCTTAAGCCTCCTCAACATTAACTCCACTCACTAAAGTCAGCCAATGCACTCCCCCGCCACACCGTTCAAAAGTGTCTGCATCTCCTAAGAGCTGGTCTAGGGAGGTCCTATCGGCTGTGCTGACCTCCTTTCCTGACCTGCTCCATGCAATGGTTGGTCAGCTTCAATCCTTAGAAGCAAACAGAACAAAGCCAAGTTGGCTTTTATAGTGGAAAACAACCTTGCCCCAGGAAGGAGAGAAACTTGAACACAGTCCAGGGGACACTGGCCCCCTCCACCCACCCCTTTTCCTCTGAACCATACCAACCACATCCACTTCACAGGGTTAACTGACATGAACACCAGCCTTGCCTACCCACTGGCCCGCTCATCTGCTTTCCTAAAACATCACTCCGACATACTGACACACAGGCCCGTGTGCCAAGGCCCAGATGGTCAGTAAGAACCCAGCGAGCAGCAGAGTCTGCTGACCTGAGGGTCATGAGTGCCACAGACCTGTTTCCTTCTCATCTTCCTCAAGCTGAGCAGTGTTTCTTCACTAGAGAAGGCCCAGAGACACATGGTCTACTAAGGACTAAGTGGCCCCCTCCCACTGAGAGCGTACGTAGTACCAAGGACAGCAGCCTTTCTTCCATCTTTGCAAAGGGATGAGGTGCTGAGCACCTCGGGAACTTAGGTGAGGGTGCTGACTGGCTGGGGTATTGTGTGACTCCTGTACATGGACTTGAGAACAGGGGAGGCGCGGGAGTGGAATGGAGGTTTGCCGAGTGGCTATCTTCTGTTCGGGGAACTTCCTTCACCGGGGGCCTGCTTGTTCTGAGTGACAGTGGGTAACGCACACACACCATCACCACAATGCACACACTGAAGGGCACAGTTAGAGCCCGGGAAGGAGGTGGCTACAAGTCCCACTGTGCCCTTCACTTGCCAGTGATTTAGGAGTCCTGCAGCATCTGAGCAGCTGCTGGTCTGTCTGCGTGGGGCTCTCTTATGTCTCATTCCTTGACTTCGCTCCCTAGAACAGCGTGCTGGGAAGATAGATGTCTGGGAAGAAGCAGACCAGGGAAACAGGAAGGGTGGCAACTGAGCAGAAGGACAGAGTGAGGCAGAAATATCTCACAAGGAGGCACTGGCTGCCCATAACCTTCACTGCACCTAATGGCTTCTGGGTGGGACCACTGTCTCTGCACTGAAAGAGCTGAGCTGAGTGACGGGAAAAATGAAGGTAAGGAAAGGTCGGGGCAGCTTTGAGAGGGGCCTTTGGAGCTGACTGTCAGATGTGAGGCAGGCTAAGATCTGGTCAGTAGTTTAGATGCGGAGGGAAGCACAGAGAACGTGGGAGAAACTGCCAAAGGTCCAAAAGACATTGTACCAACAGCGGTTGAGTACCCAGCTGGGCCATGTGAGAAGGACCCAATGTATCCGAGTCTCTGCTTTGCAGTAGCCTTCTTTGCAGCTCTCTATGGGACAGAGATGACAGGAACAATTTTTCCTAATTCCTGAGCCTTCTTTCCTTTTTTTTTTCCATTCCCTCGGACAAGACTGGACATCTGTATGTCCCTCCAGTCTACTCATATACTCACAGCTATAGTAAAACAAATTTACATATTACGAAGAAAACACAAAGATACTTGGAATAAATGTGTTCACACCCTGACTAAAATAGCAACAAGGTGATAATGATCATAATTACAGTGGCAATAACACAATAATCAGTACGATAAGACTAACTTATGAGCAACAGGGAACATTCATGGTTGGTCTGGAAGGAGAAGAGGAAAGGACAGAAGGGGTGGAAGAGCTTCAGTGTCAGCGGACAAGAAGAGATGGAGGACAAGTCCTCCCTCTTCTAGACCAGCTCTGGACCGCGCTGGCCCTCCAGATCCCACCACAGAGCAAGGCAAACCCAGGCCCACTTCCAGTCAGGACTTAGTACGAGAAGGCCCCAAGGGAAACTGCTGCCATCTGACTGCTGGAAGCTCCGTGACAGATGGGTTTCCATGCTGGTGAGGCTCCAGGAGCCTCTGGCTCAGGGGTTCTCCAAAGGCTTTGATGCCCACCCCACCTTGAACTGACTTTTCCTGTTGTCTCACTTTCAGCTAAAGCCAGGCTTGGGCTAAAGTAGCTGACTAGGACAAGGATGCAGCTTCCCTCTAGTCCTTGGCTGGAGTGGGTCAGGCCTCGCCAGGCTCTAGCATCTCTTCTTTTTGGCCAAAGGTGCACTAAGACATATCCAGTTGGGGGACCTTATAAGAATCAATGGGTGGGGAAGTTTCCAGAGTTTTTCACAGCTAAAAGCTAAGTAAGCTTTGTTACTGAAGGAAGGCAGGTCTCATGAGGGAAGTCTTTCACAGTAGATTGCTCAGGGCCTACAGAGGGAAGGCAGGGAGGATACTGGGAAGGCTGGACTGCTGACCACAAACCTTCTACCTGAAGATGTGGATTAGGGGCTAGCTAGGACTCACACCAGGCTCAAATAATCCATACCACGCTGCTATGTCCCATCCTGGACCTGACTGTCTCCAACCTCCATGGCTTCAGAGTTTCCCAGTAGGAACAGAAAATTCCTACCCACCTCACTGTTCAAAGCTGGAGAAAACATCCAGAATGCAGAGGGTGAAGGGCAGATTTCTTTGAGGCTTAATTGTCCATGGGAGTGTTTTCCCAAATGTCCCTCCAGCCCCTCTGCCTGCTCATCTCTCAAAGGCAGAGGTCCAAGTGGACTGGGAGACCTAGGTTCATTGCAACAGCAGATGTAGCAGTGGCGGTCTGCAGGGGAGCCCGACCGGAGTCCCTGGAGCTGGTGGAGAGATATGCAGGTATGTCTGAGACTACTAGGCTTCTGTGGGAGGGAGGGACTGGGGAGGGACGCAGAAATGGGAACAGGTCTCCTGCCTCTCCCCAGATGGCTCCAGGAAGCGGGTGGTGGGTCTGGAGGCTGAGGCAGCTGCCTGGCGAAGGTCCTTAAGACCCCCTCACGCCATGTGTGGCAAAGCTAGGGCAGGGTGGGGAGTCTCTCTGGACCTCTGCCCTCAGAGGAAAACTCAGAAGAACCAGATGTCGCCAGTGTCCCCCACCTGGCTCTTACATCTCTCCTGAGATCCCCGCCTCCCCGCTTTTAGTTATACAAGCTTCTTTGAAATCCTTCTGCTCACAATGAGCCCAGGAAAGACAATCCACATGACATTAAAACAATACAAAACCAAAAAGACCCAAGTAAAGTACTCTTTTAACAGCTTAACAAAAGAGCTGAGAACATATCTGACCTGCCCCAGCCAGTTTCTTGGAGTACCAGTGGAAGTTACCCTTCACCGTGTCTGTCTGTCGGTCGTTAAGGCACTAGGAGGGAATGATGTAAAATCAAGACTGCAAGGGCTGTGACGGCGGTGCCAAGGGACACACGGGGAGGGTGGCAGCCCCGTTCACACCCACACGTGCTCACGTACACTCGCTCGTTCACCTAGACCACCACATTGGCTCCTGCCGATGCTAGATCACTTGTTTTGTGCAATCGTATTGAGGGATAGTCTATTGGTGGGAAACGAGGGTGCAGAGCGCTACATTCTACCAGGGTGTCCGTGACGACCTAGCCCTATGCTACACCACTAGGGGTTGATTCGAGATAAAAAGAAAAATCACAGAAAAGAAAAAAATTAAAGACTGCAACACACATTATTATGATATCTGAGGAATAACATTGCTTAGAGATTTATCCAGAATACCCCAAAAGAGGAAACCTGCCCCTCTCCTGAGGGTCTTCCATCAGTCTGGCTGACCCCACTGTTCCTGACGAATGAGCCAGAACTGGACTTTGCCATCCCCAGACCAACCCCAAATATGAGCCTCCTCAGGCCACGGCCTGATACTTGAAAGGGGTGTTGACCCTTTTGGAGTTCCGGAAAAATCCCTAATTTTCATGTTCAATTAATTAAAAATCTATTGGATTTCCATATCAGGTCTCCTTGACAGCAAATTCTTCAATGTCACTTGCTGCCATATGAAAATAATCTTTAAAAAGTTCATAAAGTTCTTCAAAAACTGGGGCCCCTTGCTTCCAGAATCTTCCTGTAGCTCTTCTTTTTTTTCCAGTTTGGTGCAGAATGGGTTTGTGAGCTGAGTTTTTTCTTTTTTTACTCTTTTGTTACTAATTTTTCTTTTTCTTTTTTTCCTTTTTCTTTTTTAAAATAAAAAGCATAGATTTCCCACTCCTTAATCCCTTCCTTTTAAAAGGTTCTCTTCTCTGCTCTAAGTCCTCCCACTTCCTAGTTCAAGTTTCACTTCTGTCCTGACTGTCCCCCCCCTGCCCCATTTGCATTGCTTGTGTGCGGCACCTGCAGTATAAAACCCCAGCTCCCCAGGTCTGTGGGAGCTCCTCCACCCCCTCCCTGCGGGTCCCTCCAGTGTTTATATGTAAGGGTATTGGTTGACCTTGGCAGGACTCAGTGGGTATCCAGTGTAGACGGTGGAGGCTGGCGAGGCGCTGATGTAGGTCTGATGGGCAAACTGGGCTGGATACTGACTGGGGTGGATGGTGGGTGAGGGTAGGACCCGGGGCCCCATGCTCACGGGGACTTGGTGGACGATGCCGGCCGGATAGGCAGTGTGCTGCACAGTGTGGCGTGCTGAACCTTGGGATGCCACCAGGTGGGCTACGGTGCCGGTGGAGCCTAGGGCTGTGGGCGCGGTATAGGTGTAGAGGTGAGGCTGGGTGGGGAGATGGGCAGCTGCAGCCAGGTGGGGGTGTACAGTGCCATGGCTGGGGCTGTTGTGCGGGAAGGTGTATGGAGCCTGGGCCATAGTCGGAGTGATGTAGGCCTGCTGCCGACGGTGACTCCCAGTGCGGTCTGTAGCCATGTGCTGCTGAGCCTGAGAAGGAAACGTAGCAGAGGGATGGTGTTAGGGGCAGGAGGGGAAGGAGGAGGGACAGGGTGGGAAGCAAGAGTGACAATACATGCTTCCCTTAAAAGCAGAGAACATGCCCGTGGCGCACGCCTTTAATCCCAGCACTCAGGAGGCAGAGGCAGTCGGATTTCTGTGAGTTTGAGGCCAGCCTGGTCTACAAGAACTAGTTCTAGGACAGGCTCCAAAGCTACAGAGAAACCCTGTCTCAAAAAAACAAAAAGCAGAGAATATAAAAATTTGTCTGAAATGAGAAAGTGATGTCTGACTGGCCAGTCACCAGACTAGGGTGATACTCAGCCAGTCGGGAGCAAAGCCAGTGGGCTGCTCTGCTGAAGTCATCCCTCTCTGAGAAGTGACGGCTTTCCCACAGGCTGTGACACCTCACTCTGGGGACTTCCAGAACCAGTCCAAGCAAAGAGCCCTCTCTTCTGCAGAGAACCCAAATCACTGGGGCATGTGTGCAAGTCCTAGGGTACTTTTTCCATGGGTCTGGGGCATTGACTGTGAGGACTCCCTGAAGAGAAGCAACTTCAGGGCTAGTCTGGTGACCCAAAGCAACGGCAGGATATTATGCGTACTCTTTGCTGGGCCCTGCGATCAGCAGGTCAGCTCTGGCACCATGCCACTAAGTTCTCTATCACTTGGCTTTGGGTTGGCTCTCTGTGAACCAGTGTTACCACCTTTCCCAGCATTGGTCTAGCGTAGGAATAAGCTATCAAGGCCACTTAAGGCATTGTGCTGTCAGGGTTTACCTGGCTGAGATTGAGGGGCTGCTGCTGCTGGAAATGGGGGCCTGGTCGCTGCTGCCGGTAGGCGATGGCTCCTGATGAGCTCCCTGAAGAGTGGCCACTGGTGGAGGTCACGGTGCTGGAGGACTTGGACTTGAAGGAGGATGAATGGTGACTGGTGCTGACCGCTGCGGGAGGGTGGGGGGGGATCAACAGGTCATAGGTCAGGGGCATGTTCTTGGCTGTTGAGAAGATGTGCTCCCTCCCTGTAAACAGTAGTCTTCCAGGAAGGACATGTTCCTGACACTGCCCAGGCATAAACCACTCAGTCCCCTGACCTAGTCAGGCATTCGTCTTGTCTCTGGAGAGGCAGCTGGGCTCTGGCCCTTGGCTGCATGGTGGGTTGGAGCGGCAAACAAGGGAGACAGGAGTAACACAATCAAGGATAAAGGCACAGGCCCAGCTTGGACTCCACGCTGGTCCTCTATCTGGGAGGTGTGTGAAAGTTAGGAGGCCTGACTGGCTGCCTCCCGGGTTGCTAAGAGGATCAGATGTGATCATGTCCATAGTTGGCCCTAACAAACAGCTAGGGTGAACGCCAGAAGCTCCAATAGCCCTGCAGATCTCCTGACCCAAGGCAGGATAAAACTAGCTCTCCTGGGAACGGCCTGAGAAAAGCATATGGCTGGCGTAACAACTGCTCCTATGATACTGACAATGTAGAGACTCTGCCCAGCCAGGAGGGAGCTCTGTACTTGGGTCAATGCTGCTGGGGGTGGCAGAAGAGTCTGCATTCTAGCACAGTCTGGGTGTTGATGCCGCTCAGTGGGAAGAAGATTAAGAAAGGCAATACCCATATTAGGAGGCTCTAAATGCCTGATTAAGAGATCCCAGAGCTTTACTGGGTCTGCTGTCTTAACCTAGCCAATGTATCCTAAGCACAATGCTGCCTGCTAGGTACTGTGACCATTTCCCCCCAGGAATAGGTGAGGTGAGAATGGTAGTCAGGAGGCATCGCAGAGCATAAAGGCAAGAGGTAGAGGCAGGGAATGCGGGGAGGTGCTAACCGTTGGTCAGGATAGGCCTGAACTGAGCAGCTGGGCGGGAGTGAGACATTCACCCCCAGAATAAAGTAAGAGCAATGCTTCGCAAAGGAGAGCACCTAAATGGACAGGTCATAACCCTCTTCTCACACCTTTTATTTTTGATAGGGTTTCATTCTGTAACCCAGGCTGCCCTCAAGCTTGTAGTCATCCTGTCTCTGCTTCTTCTGCGCTGGTATTATAGATGTGCATCGCCACGTCTGGCTTGGCTATAGCCTCTTGACTGACCAATACCCAAGAGTCAACAATAGCAAGCAACAAGCAGATACACAGTCACGAGGAAATACTGCATGTCTCCAGATGAAAAGCTGCACAAGAGCCTGGGCAAACATGGGCACGGGGAGAAGGTCCCTGACACTTACTCTGTGTTCTGTTCTAAGGCCTACAGGAACAAAAGAAACCTGTGAATTGTGCTACTGGTGTCGTACAGTTTAAAAGCTAGAGTTAACATTTTCACTGTACTCCTTAAGAGCTAAAGAGCAAAGAAGAATTAATTGAGAAGAAAATGACTTTGGTTGGGAGGTTGACTGTGTGCCTGTGAGCACACCAAACATGGGTCACCCCCAGTCAGATGGTGAGGGAGAAAGAAGCCCAAGCCAGTTTCCATTTCCTTTCAGGCAGAGTTCTTGGTATAAGAAAGGGGGGCTGGTCACAGGCTTGCTGTGTCAGTGGGATAGTATTTCAGGCTGGCTATATAAGGGGACTAGAAAAACCCCTAGAGATCTCATCTCGAATTCTACTCTGCACCTTGAGTGGCAGATCTCAGCAGCCTGTATCTTCTCAGCCTGGCAAGTTGTAACCAACAAAGAAGAATCTTCCAGGGTAACCTCAGGTGTTTCCTGTTGCCATGTCAGGTGATGGACAGACGGTCTCCACCAAGTAACAATAGCTTTAATATTTAGCAAAGCTTAACAGTATGTCCCTTCCTGACATGAAGATGCTCCCTGGCCTGACAGTGGTTGATGACAGCATGTGGCAGAAGGACAGGCAGACTCAGGCTTAGCCCCCCAATTCTTCTATGTGAACCCGAGTGAAGGAAATACTGAAGAGATGTTGTTGAGTGAAACCAAAGTGAACCACTGAACTGATTTCGAAGGCTCTGCTCACCAGCTTCCTGCCAGGGCTCGATATTCAGAACAAGACTTGTGGGATGTTAATTCTTTAAACAAAGCCGAGAGAAATGCACTCAGCTCACATCTCTGTGCCTAAGGAAAAGTCCTGCTAAAGGTCCTTGACCCCCATATGGAAGCTCAGAGGAAGTGCTCCCTCCACAGGACACCTGCTCTACCACAGGGCCCCTAAACCAGCTGACAGGAACCTGGGCGCTTTCATTGTTTATTCCTCAACCATAATAGATGCAGAGCCACCATGAGGACAGTCAAGCTTTCAGAAGGTCAAAAGGAAAATATTCTCTATGGGATATGGTGATATTCTATGATACAGACAGGGTCCCACTGTGGCTGCTTGAACAAAACCGTGTGTACAATATAGATGATCTGAAATAATTCAGTACTTTCTGTTTCACTAGTACTAGCATTTCTAACAGCAGAAAGCGAGAAAAGCAGGGAATTCTAGGCTTGCTGAGGCCCCAGCTTACCTGGCCCTAGGCTGTCACAGTCTACCAACACTTCACTGGCCTGGGTCTTCAGTGGGGGTACGATGATGGTGCGGGGGTTGCCGGTGCAGTGCTTCTCCAGGCCCCCCTTAGTGTCCAGGGTGTTGGAGCCATTGTGCCCTGTGTGCTGCTGCACCGAGTAGGGGCTGGTGTTGCTGGAGGAGTCAGAGTAGGGAGAATCATGGACTGTGACACAGCTGATGACATTTTTCCTCTGCTTGGAGACCGTGCTGCAAAGTTAAAGGGAGAAGTTAGAACTGTGGCTGGCGTGAGGTGAGACAACCAGCGCCAGAGCACATGGGAAGGCAGGCAGAGCAGGGCTGGACCCGGCACGTGAGACAATCACAGACGGACCTGGGCTATCCCCATGAGATAAATTCAAGAGTTTGGTGGCAACCCCTAGAACTGGAATTTGTCTGAGCAAGGAAACATAACCCTAATGAACCTGGCAGGCAGAGGACCAGCTTGGAAAGGAAATGGCCCTGAGTCTGGGCTCTGGGCCTGTGAGAATCAGCAGAGCATAAGCAGGAAGGGAAGAGGGGTCCAGCGATCCAGGCTGCTGGTGGAGGGACAGACCAAGTGAGGCTCTGAAGATCATAGCATCATCATTCAGAAACTGAGAAACAGAAATTGAGTTGAATTTGGGTGATTTGTGTTCAGGCCACCTAGGACCCCTGGGTAGCTAATTTTAGGGATGGCCTGGCCCTCCTGCAGAGTTCCCATACTCTAGGCCAAGGTCAGGAGACAGCACTGTCCTGAGCTCTAAAGGCAAGTCTCCTGTATGCGAATGCACTAGGGAGTGGATCGCTGGGACTTTAGCTGCCTAGGGTGGCTCTTGGCCAGCACTTGCTTTTCACAGAGCTTTATGCTCCTGTGGCTTCTCTGGGAACCAATGCCTGTGGCTTGGTGAGAGGCTGCTGGGGTGACAGAAGTGCAACTTACTGCGTATCAGGCAAGGTTTTAAAAATGGATGTTCATCTATTTTTGTACACTGATCAGTTATTTTTAAGAAATAACAATTGCCTAGACAAGATGGCCACTTTCCAGCTAATCCGATATGAGAAAAGGCTGGTATTTATAGAATCTGATAGAGTTCCCAAAGACCCTCCTACCTCAGGAGTCTTGACTAATGCCACAAACTCAGGACAGGTTCTTTCCAAGATGAGTTTTTTATCACTTGAGGGAGAGTAGGGAAGTGGGCAACAAGGCAGAAGGCTAGTAGAAGGTCAGCAGGGCTGCAGACCTACAGAGGTTGGACAGGCAGTGGGTGAAGACTCTGGGGGACCTGCCCATTCCTGATACCCAGCACAGTGATGCCAGTGCTGGACCATTCCTCTCGTGGCCTATCCCTATTCTTTCTTTGCTTAGGACAGGAGGTCCCTAGCAGGATTGTGGGTTAGAACATGGGCTTCCAGTCAGATGTTTAACTTCAGTATGTGCTGGTGACAGGGCCTTGGGAAGCATCAATTTTAGAGGGATTTAGATGTCTGCACAGCAATGATATGGGTAACAAAAGAACCTGTATCAGGCTGTTCTTGGGACTGGTGAGACAGGAATACTACATGAAATATTTAAGTGGCCGGGCGGTGGTGGCGCACGCCTTTAATCCCAGCACTCGGGAGGCAGAGGCAGGCAGATCTCTGTGAGTTCGAGACCAGCCTGGTCTACAAGAGCTAGTTCCAGGACAGGCTCCAAAACCACAGAGAAACCCTGTCTCAAAGAAAAAAAAAGAAATATGTAAGTAGTTCATCGGGTCAACTATTGTTATTATTATACAGGATGAGATTCCCTAGTCCCAAATTATAAATCTTCCCAAATCTAAAAATGTTTGAGTTTTGACATGATATCACAATTGGGAAATCCCATGTCTGATCTGATCTGACAGGCTGTGGTCAAAAAGCAGACATATTAAAAATAAAATTTCATTTAGAGTTTATGCACATGGGAAAATTTAAAATCTGAAACATTTTTCATCTCAAATCTTCTTAAAATAATTTTAATTTTTATTTAAAATAGATTTTTTCATATAATATATTTTGATCAGTTTTTCCTCCCCCCAACTTCTTTCAGATCCTCCCTACCCCTTTACCCAACCAAATCCACACCTTTTCTTCCTCTCCCTCATTAGGCAACTAAAATACAAAACCAAAACCAAACCAACCAAACAAATCTGAATAAAACAAAAAAAAAGCAGAAAAAAGAGCCAAAACAAACACACACACACACACACGCATATAGATACAGAGATATGGCCCCCCCTCTCTAGAAATCCCACAAAAATACAAAATTAGAAACCATAATAAATTAGAAAGACTTGTAAGGTTAAAAAAAAAAAGCCTAGATAAACCACCGAGACAAAAGTCCTCTAGAAATACCGCTGAGTTTGTTTAAAGTTGGCCATCTAGTGCTGGGCATGGATTCTGCCCGTAAGTGTGGTTTATATCCCCAGTGAGACTCCGCTGAGAATTAATTCTTCTTCTGAGTGGTTGTCAATTGGAAATAGCTTCTGAGTTTGGGAGGGGGACTTGTGTCTACTTCCCTCTTGGTGCTGGGGCCCCATCTGCTTAGACCTTTTTAAAGGCTGGGTTCCACCGTGCAGCCCAGACTGCCTCCTGAGTGCTCCAAGCCTGAGGAGAAAGGCTATCCCACGTGTGCTCTCATCAGCTGTGCTACCCGGGATAACAGGGGAAAGCGAGCGCTGCACAAAACCTTATCAGACACAAGGTTTATGAGGGAAGGGCTTGCTGAAGAAGTTCTTCTCTAGTCTGTGCTGAGCCAGAAGATTGAGAGGAAAGAAATGACATGTCATTAGTTTGGAATCTTGGAGATCTACACAGTCAGTGCCACAGGGAATAGCTGCACAAAGAAACAGAAACAGGCCTCTGTCCTCGAGCAGATGAAAAGCTCAGTAGGAGACCGTGTAACAACGTGACGAGTCAAACAGTAAAAGCTTTAAAATAACCAGTTAGAATCAGGGAGTCACAAAGCCGTCCATGATTAACACGGGTCTTCCAGATGATAACTGTTAAGAACCCAAAAGAAGGCGAGCAATGAACTGGTCACACACATTTGCAGCTCTTCACATTAACAGATAGAACCAGGTGCATTTCAACTAATAAAGACCCCCTTTCCTCACTTGTAATGGTTTAAATCCAGAGGTCCACGTGCATTTTAAAAAAGCCCAACACAGAGTTACCATAGCAATTCCAACCCTAGGCATGTTATCTCAGGACATGGAGATGGGACTCAAACAGTGATTCTTAGCTCAATGGCTATAGCAGCGCTGTTTACAACACCCAAGAGAGAACAACGAAAGCACTGGCCAATGCGCGAGCGGATAAACGAAGCTTTGCATACCCATACCATGGAATTATTGTCAGTCAAAAGGTTGAGCAAAAAGTGAAGTCCTTTTTTTTTTTAAAATATTTTTCTTGTTCTTAGTTGTGTGTGTGTGTGTGTGTGTGTGTGTGTGTGTGCAGGTACCCACAGAAGCCAGAGGTGTCAGGATGCCCTCAAACCGGGCTTACAGGAGGTTGTGAGCATCCTCATGTAGGTTCTGGGAATAGAATGTAGGTCTACTGGAGGGCAGTATGTGTTCTTAACTGTTCAGCCATCTCTCCAACTTGAGTGAAGCCCTGATATGTATTACAACATTGATGAACTCTGGAAGTATCTCATAAAATAAGCCAGAAACAAATTTTGCATGATTCAACACACAAAATATCTAGAATAGGCAAACTCATACAAAAAGTAAATACATTACAGATACTAGAGGTCTGGGGGGTAAGTAGAGAAAAATGTCAAATTATTTAATGGGTATAGAATATTGGGCTGGAATGACAGTTTTAGAAATAGATAATGGTGACAGTCAGTGTCCCCGAATGATTAAAATGGAAAATTTCATATTTTACCATAATCTAAAAAACAAATGTGCAATCTCGCAGTGTGGATGGGTGAATTGTATAGTATATGGGTTTTCTAACTTTAAAAAGCCCATGGGCTTATCCACAGCGAAAAGTTCACAGGACGTAGCCTTGGGTCCTCTAGCAGCAGTGCTCAGCAGATCTTAAGGCCGTAAGTAACCGAGATCTCTTGCAAGAACTACAAAGTGAGTGCCTGGGAAGAGGACCTGCTGCTCTTTCCTGTGATGGGAGTGGTCAATGGAGGCTGCTGGTCCTGAGCAGGACACTGTTGTCCTGTTTTGGGGTCTCCTTCTTACCAGCATAGGTACAAAATGCTCCCACAACCAGGGATGGAGCCAAGGATTCTCTCCAGGCAAGTTCCCAAGGGGATGCAGGAGGCATGCTGTTCTGTTCCCAACTTAGGGCTTCGGTCACCATCACTTGTACTTGATTAAATAACCCAAACACAGTGGCTCCACTTACCATTTCCTGAAATGGGGATATGTTCTGCTGCAGGGGCATGATCTATAGGCGGTGGACTCGTGCAAAGATAGAGGCTGGTTCTCAATGCGTCCCCGCAAAGGACATTCTAGTTCTGTCTGCTGTCCCTTTACAGGTGGACCCTGAGGAACCATGGCCCTGTACCATTCATCAGCTCCAACCCAGTCTGAAATTACTAGGGGAAATGGGAGAGATTATTTGCAGTATGAAAGGGCCCGTTCTGAATATCCCTCGAAGATTTACTATGAAAGACAGTCAAGATAAATCCAGTCCACTGTTCCTGTCAAGAGGAGCCAAATCTCTTCAGTGAGAGGACCTTACACATACGTGCGGTCCTGGTCACTTCCTGCTGAGCCTCCCTTCCTTAGGCCTTCAGTTATTTAGAAAGGGGGCAAGTGAAGCAAACGATACTGACTTTGGCTAATCTCAACTCAAACACAATCCAAATTGTGCCCATTTGGAACCTATAACTCAAGATTTGCAGATTCCAAAGAATCTCCAGCTTAATGCAGCTAAATTCTTTGCAGTCCCTGTAACATTCTGAAGGCACAGTGAACTGCCTCATGAATCAGCACGCTGCCACTGAAGGAAGGCTTTCTGGGCAGAGTCCTGTGGGAGCTGGAAGCTTCACGACAGGAATCAGGCGGGCAGTGAGCGGTGCATGTCAGTGTTGTGCCATCTGTGGAGGAGGGGAGAGGAAACCCCCACACTCCACGTGAGGCCCATCCTTTTGTTTGTATCTGGGAAGCCCCATGACTAACAAGCAAAACCACACGGCACAGCATAATATTGTATCGTCTTGGATGAATATACGACAGGTTTGGGAA